ACAAGCAATACTTGACCTGATGTTGGGCTGAGAAGCCACAGAACCTTTCATCTGACAGTAAAAACATACGATACGCTCTGCTAGCCGAGCTGGATCCCGGCACAGTTACATTTATGCGTTACAACATCACTGCCTGCTCCTGTCAAAGGATGTCTGACAGAAGCAGGAATTGTCAACTGTTTGTGTAATTACAGCTTCCAGTCCAACCAAAGTAGCTATATATTTAAGCCTTTGGTTAGAAACAATATAGGCTGCCATACTTTCACATTTGCCACAGAACTACACGTTGGGCACCAAGAAAAAAAGAAGCGTATGTTCATGCCGACAGACCATTTGAATTTGAAGTTAAATTTGCATCCAACAACTGTAACAGTTTTAAAGAGTTTCCCACCAGTAAATATAGCTGCACACATTTTCTGATTCCATACTGCTGAATCAGCCTAGCATAAAGCATTAATCCAAACCAGAAGAGTTTAGAGAAATTTCATTCTACTTTGAACAAGTTTTCCAACACTCACCATAAATATGTTGAAATCAAAATAAATACCCTTTTCCCAACACCAGAAATTTATATTTTAAAAAATCTGACAGCAATTAAAGCTAGCCATACGCCTCATAGTTTTCCACATCTTTCACATTAGTGTTAGCCTACAAGCCAGTTACTGCCTGTGGCAGCGGGAGATGGGGAGCTCTCAAGAAAACACGATAAAATATAGCTATATTTATTAATTCAGTGCAAGTCCTGCCTTAGCTAGAGTATCAGCTTTCATGCAGATCTAGCCATATCTGTGCACTTCAACGAGGTGAGAGTTTCAGCAGCCTTGCAATCCCAGCGCAGACACAGCTCCGAGCGGCACACGGAGCCTCTGCTCTCACTGCTCACAATGCAGCACGAGGCAGCTCAGGCCAGGGCTCCACCGCCCTGCGAGCCTTCGCCTGGCAGCCGCCAAAGGAACCGCTACTCCCAGAAATCCTCCCCCCATCGTTCTCTTAAATTCTCTTTCTCTTCATCTCATAACAACGAATCCAGATCTTTGGCTACTGTTTTTTATTACATTTTTTAAATGGTCTGTAAAAACACAAGTCCCTGATTTCTAGCTCCCTCCTTCGGCAAACAACTGGCTGAAAAGGCTGAAATCTTCTGCCACTTCAGCTTCGTTTGCCCTCTGCCCCCACAAGTATTTCTCATGCCCCCTCTTGGCTCCGCCAACTACTCCACTGTCATCACTGTTTCTTTCCCCTCTCTGCCTTTTTATCCTTTTCATTATCAAGCATTCTTAGGAAAAACTGTGTTGAAACTTGTAATCTTAGTAAAGTGTACCAGCTGTAAATAAAGGGAACGCATCCATCCCAAAATGGCCACAGCAAGGATAGATCTTTCAGTGTTCAGGTGATTAGAAAAACAACTTTGAACTTAGCACTGCTTGCAGCTCTCACTTTGCTGGCAGACAGCCCACGTAGATGATGGAGCTGTCATATCACCATCATGTTTTAGCAAAATATTTATACTGGCGTTCACTACATGCACACCAATGGTATGCAGCCCTAGACAAAGTCCTGATAATTATTAAAGAGCAATAGGATATGCTACTTCAAAAATATCCTGTATTTCAAATAGGTTTCATAGCTTTATTTTGCATTATTACAAGACAGAAAACACCCAAACCAAGAGTATTTTAAAGCCAGGTGAATTTGTGATTTGGTTTGCAACAAACGCGGTTTTTCTCCATTTAAAAAGCTAATGTGTATTCAGTTTTATATGCCTATAACTGAAAAAATCTCTATCTGGCACAGCATTAGCTCCTTATATGTACTCAAGAAGGAGTTAATGTAAGCCTTGCACATTTTTACTGTCTATAACTCAAAATATTCAAATTCAAGAAACGCTTCTGACTTTCATTATACTTATGCAATCACAGTTTTACTTGGGGATCAAACTTGGCCATTAAATGTGATTTTCCCACTGACAACACGTGAATCAGTAATATGAAGACTGCTTTGCACAGTCCTGTGCTAGTTTTAAAGGACAAACAGAGAAAGCATTTTTTAATTTGTCAGCTGAGCAAGCTTACCACAGGGTTGTGAGGAAAGAAATCTGCAACAACTTTACAATGTTTTTCACACTAAAACACTTCACAAAGCATAGTGATGTCATCTTGGCTCCACAAAAGTCAGCAATGAAGATGACATCAACTACTGTGAAGCCAGAATAGCAACCTTGAATCTCCTAAATCTGTGAATGCTAGACCTCAGACTTGCTTTACCGGCAGAAGTGCAAGTCTTTCTTCTCAGCCTTTAAACTCTGTGAGACAGCCTCGCACACTGAGTTCAAGTAAATTTTTAGAACACAGAAAATGGTAAAACTTCAGATGCAGCCACACACAGGAGCTCAGCCCTCCAGTCAAGACGCTTGCTTTAACGTTACTTGGACCCAACACTGAAGGGACAGTAAGCCTTCAGGGAGGAGTAGGATTGCTATTGTATGTTGTCAACAAGTTGAAAAAAGATATATTGTGTGTGTGTGTGTGTGTGTGTGTGTGTGTGTGTGTGTGTGCATACACCCATGTGTGCACAAACATAAGCCTGTAACTCATAAGAATGTTTTTCATTTAAACATTTTATAACTCTTCTAGCTGGAAGCAAGCTACACAAATCTGGTTTGCCTGTTGACAAAGTAAAAGCTACACAACATTAACACAAATAGAACAACTTTTAGTTGCATAAAATGTTGCCCATCATGAGCGCTATCCTGCTTTTGATCATGATCTGATGTCTAAGAATGTTAAAACAAAATAAACTTCAAACAGTCACACTTGCAGATGATGCATTTCTCTTTACTAATTCTCAGTAGAACTCTCGCTCATTTTCAAATCCCAGTTTACTTTTACTTCACCAGGTGAGAACAAATATAAAAATAAACTAGATTGGAGTTTTGTTTGAATGTGTTAATAAAATAGAGCCTTAGCAGACAGACTAAATGAAGCTGCTCCCCTACCCTAGAGGCACATTTGTAAGGCCCCGATCAATTAATCTGCTAACTCCACTGCAGGAACACACACAGCCACCAGCAGTTTATGCAGTCGGAATGGAAGGACAAGAGGAAAGGTGGTCTGCCTGCCTTCCAATGGAGAACAACGAAGATAAGAACTGCTCCTCCCCCTTTTTTCTTTTTGTCTTTAATTTTATTTTATTAATCAAAGAGTAAGAACTAAAAAACAGCTCGGAGGTGGATCATGCTGCAGATTAAAAAACATTTGTATTACAATCAGGATAGAGAGCACAGTCTCTAGCATACGTTACTGTTAAGATTTCCTAGGACAATGTAAAGTTAATTAATTAGGGTGTGTGCTAAAAAGCAAAATGTATTTGGAGAATCATACGCATTAAGCAGCATAATCAAACATTGTTTTTAGAGACAGTAACACACAATTTTAAAATTAGGAGTATTTTTTTCCCATCTGATGAAGCAGTTTTCTTTTTTCCTGTGAGTATGTCCATTACTAATACTTCTGGGCATATTAACTTTCTTTAAATAATAAACCTAGAAATATCATTAGCACCAAGCGCCAGTCATCACACATTCCCCCCCCCTACTATTCATCTCAAAATTGTCTTGAAACATCAGAAAGTATTTGGTCACATAATATTTAAAAACATAATAATGAGGCAGATTTTGGAAAGACACAAAAGATTGTATAATAAAGGAAGCAAAGATCCACAGCGGAAAATTAGCTCAGGATAGAGCTAACGTCTTCCAAAATTCAGGTATACTCAACAGCTTCAACAGCCACAGAAGTGAAGCACGTATTTTCATAGGGGAAAGAGAAGAAAAAGTTAGTAGAGGTAGAGTCTGGGGAGATGGTAGTCAAATCTCTCAAACACAGCAAGTGGGACAGAAAAGAGTGTAAGAAAACCAATAAAACCTGCTTCCAAATGATAGAACCATAGAATGGTTTGGGTAGGAAGGGACCTTGAAATGGTTAAAAACAAAAAAACAAAACAAAACAAAAAAAGAAACAGTAACAAAAATCCTCTTAAGATTCACCTTTTCAGCTAGCAGAAATCTTATGAGGACCTGAAGTGTGAGGGAAAAAACAGTGCAGTAAACTATTCAGTCTATTTAAAATAATAATCAAATGCAGTTCCTTACACTGCTTTTTGGATTCATGACTTGAAATCTCCCTCTTCCTTTTCGAAATCCTATTAATTCTTGGGCATACAACTACATGATCTAGAACAGTGAGCAGTGACCTCTCTACTGTAATCTCAGTGGGATAACCTATTTACAAAACATCTTTTAGAAAACAATATTGACTTTCTTTGCCCCTAGAATAGTGACAAAAATAATTGGCAGAGAAACTGCAACTGTAACTGCAAAATGAGATGTAACCTTTGAATAGAGCCTAATATTACTACAAAGAAGGTTAAAACTGTGCAAAATTACTTCTGCACTCCCGTTGCCTGCACTTGGTTAAAGGAACTGGACTCCAGGGTGGAAGGCAAGGGAAGGAAGAGAACTTGATACAGTATTTTTCTTCTCCTAATTTGTTAAAGAAGTGTCAAAACTAAGTAGTCTGTGTTCAGAAATAACTTCACTGATAAGTAACTCACAGAGGGGATAGTCTAGACTGCTGCAAATATTAAGGCATGTATGATATCATCATCTTTTTTCCTCCTCCTTTTTCAAGTTAACATTGTAGGAATCATTCCGGGGTGAATCCAAATTCTTCAGATCCATATATAGTACAGAAGGCTGAAGACAGGGAGAAGAGAATGGTGGACTTACAAAAGTTATAATTAAAAAAAAAAAAAAAAAAACCACACTGTGATGTTTCATCTGCCTACATTAACTTCAGGAAGACAAGGTTATGCTTGAAGTGCTAATTTAAGCATCTGTTAAGACCATAATTAATTACATTATTTGATGATTTCTTGAAAGAGACTGTAGACTTAACAAATAAGCTCTGGAGGAAACGTGCAGTCCTCCTTGGCTTGCATACCTGTGTCACTTCCAGATCCAGTTGATAACGCTGGCATGATTTAGTCTGCAGAATATCACACACGAACGTCAAACTCGCACTCTGCGGCCAGAAGGCAGAAGTTAATTTCGGTTTAACTGCTTGCAGCCAACTTGTCTACCAAGATTTATGCAATCTCCTCCTTTCTCCTAGAAAGATCAGAAACAGAATTTTACAATTAAGAGCTTCGTTAAGCTGCAAATTATTACTGCTAATCAGCTACAAACTTTACCACGAAAGAAGCTTTTGATTTAATCTAAGTCTCACACAACCAACAAGCTTTTTGCACCTATATATGACTGCTAAGATTATCTCCGCAGGTGAAACAAGATTTGCTTTTTTCACTCTAATCTATAATTGCATTCCACTGTAAAACCATCTTCAAACATTTCTCTCATTTAAATGACACTCCAGTGTGTCTGGTATTTTGGAAAGAAAGCGTTTTTAAAAATAAAAGCAGTAAATAATTTAAGTCATTCTAATTTTATTACTACTTCTCCCAGGGAAAAAATAATGCATAAATGCTAATTTATTGCATGTTTCTATTCAACTTCCTTTCAATACCTTTCAATTGATTTGCAAATACAAAATACATGTCAGATCTTAATCTAGAAATATAAACTAAATTTTAAATGAAATTATAAAAGCCAGGACTGGAGCAAGCATTTATCCAGGGGAAATGGCAGCTTGATTTATGGAGCCATTCTCATGCTAACCATATAAGGATTCTTTCCTATAGTTCATTACCACGAAGTCACATTTTTAAAACAAACAAACAAAAAAGATACTTGTTTAATTATTGCACGAGCCTGGAGATACTAAACTTGGGTCTTTAAACAGTTCTTGAGGAAAACTCAGAGCGAACATAAGGAAAGTACGAACCGATTTCAAATATAAGTGCACAGATTTAAATTCAGGTATGTTAAAATATGAAACTGGAAGAGAAACTATGAAATTCTTTTCACAAGTTAAGTCTGGAAATGTTTACCTAGAGCAGGGCAGAGGCTGATGTGTTTGCAGGGAGAAGGAAGGGAGAGGGAGAAGCAGAAGCTTACAGAAAATAAGGTGTTTTCTTCAGGTTTCAGAAAACAAAAAGCGTCCTTGAAGAAAGAAGCCAGCACAGCTCTGCTCCAGCAGAAGAACATAAACAAACAGGAGAGCATTTTGTTGCTGCTGTTGCTGTTTTAGTTTCTATTTAATTTCTAAACATATTCATATTAATCAGAATGGCTTTTGAAGTCACGTTGGCTTCGAAAGTGCATATTTTTGACACATTCAGTTGGCAACAGCTTCATGAAGGAGTGATATACAGGTGCTGTAAACACTGTACGCTGTGCAAAATTTTCTTTTTGCAAAAAAAAAAAAAAAAAAAGAAATCCACACATTGCTGAAAACACTGCAGCATAGCAAGGGCCATCCACTCTGTTTTGTTTATATGAAGTTTTAAATCAATTATTAAGATACAAGTTAGCTGTTAACTTGTCCACAGGTGTAAGCCTATTGTTGAAGGAATCAGAAGAGGTTTTTTTATTCCCCCTAAGCATTCATCTGAAGAATGATTTTGTATGTCAGCTTTCAGACCGAGCTAATCTGTTTGCCTGTCTGTTTTAAGAAAGTGAGCAAAGTGAGAGTTACAGCCTTAGACAACTTCTGCAACTGGAAGGATTACGTATTGTCTGTTGTAGGGGTGGCTGTGATTGTGTTTTTTGTTTGCTTTAGTTACAAAAGGTTGCGGTAATGAAAAAAAAGCTTTCACTAAAAATGCTGAATTTTCCAAAAAAACCTTCTTGTCCATCACATCAGTACAAAGCCTATCAGCTCGAACAAAATTTAAAACAGAGATAAGCAAGCGCTTCAGGGCAATAGACCAACTCACAATGACAAAGTTGTAAGAAACAAATCTATCTGCAAAGCCAGCCTGGGTGCAGCTCAGAAGGAAGGAGAAAAAAAAAAAAAAAAAAAAAAAAAAAGGCATCACAGCCAAGGACACACTGTACAAATTAAAAAAGAACATACTTGGTTTGCACTAATTCTGCTTGTTTTCTTTTGACCACATACAGGAACCATGAAGGAGAACTCCTGCTCTGAGCTCACGTACAGCCCCCGGAGCAGCACACAGCTACAGCCACAGGGACGGATGGGAGCGCTTTCGGTTTTCATGTGCTCAAGAAACTTGTTCAAACAAAGGGATCTCCTATTAATGGGACGTCTTTCATGTATATGCAGTTTGAGGTACTTCGGTATACTAAAAAAGAAGGCCAATAAAAACAACACGTAAACACGCAAAGAATTCTCCTTAATGCTGATTATTAATTAGAACGGCGGGTTCCTCAAAAAATGTTCACTGCGCAATGTGGAAAGCGGAGCAGCTCGACATACATGTTGTGTATCCTGAACTCGATTTACTCCTGATTTTTCTTTATTTCACGGTAAATCATTCACTATTAAAGAATTCAAGTTTCTTATTATTTAAGAAACTTATATATCACATAAAGCTATTCCCTCCAGATCCTAAATATATATTAATGAAAAATAAATGACCTGATGAAATCCTTACCAGTAAAATGCTTAATATTTTGCTGGAATGGAAGGGGGACTTTTTTTTTTCTAACTTGCAAATTAAGGCACATTTTTGCAGCGATGATGTTATTTTCTTTGGCTCGCTTTGTTCCAAATGCTTTGGAAGTTTCTGCCGGAGCGCGGCCATCAGCACTGCTGGCTGCTGTATGGAATCGATTTGCTGCAACACAGCAATACCAGCTGTTACAGTATGTCCTGAGAGGGATTACCGAATATTCTTAAATTGAAGTTCAATCCATCTTTCCATAAAAATTAGAACCAAAAGCCAGGAACGCAACAGCAGTATCAAGTGCACCTGAGGCATTTACAATACCCAACAGGACCGTTACGACCAGCCTCTAAAAAGGGCTTATTTTTGAAATTTCATTATTCCAGCCGTACCTTGCTTCTATATATCACACTGTATCAGATTCTTCTGGCAGCCACCGCGTGGAAACAGTGAGCCAGGAGCGGCGGCTCCCGCCGGCCGGCCCGCGCCGCTGCTGCCACCTCGCGGCCTCACGGCGCCGCGGCTCCCGCCGCAGCTCGGGCTCGGGGAGCCGAGAGCCGAGGAGGCGGCTCGCGAAGGGAGCGGCGGGAAGATCGGAAAGCTTTCCACTCCGCGCCCATTCGGGCTCCTATAGGAAAGGCGTTCCTAGCTGCAGTTCAATTAAAGGCATCCAAAACAATTCACCTCTATAAAAACACGTTCCCCTCGCCTTCAGATAGCTCTCGGACACTGCACGAGCACGGTAACCAAACCAGACGCGCTTCAGCTCCTTACGGCAACGTAAGAGATGGCGGTGCTGAACGCCCTGGTTATAAACGGCTCCTGGGGACACCTTCACAACACAGCCATACAATGACAGCTCTCCAACGGAACGGTTTTCCTGCGTCTCACACGAACAAGAGGCCCCTCAGTAGGATACAAAGGGAAGGGGATAAATCCGGCTCCCCACTACCTGCATTACATACAGGAAAGAAGATGAGACCAAAGGGAGACATGTACAAGCGCTAAGGCAAGCAGACCTACACACTGTGTCTGCTGGAACTCATCTACTGCCTTTGGATGGAAGGGACCCCATTAGCCACAGGCACTTAATTTTAGTCAAGTTATTTAGGTAGGAAAACCCATTCAAATCTGGCTTTACAGCTAGCATCAGGCTTTGCAGACAACACTCATCAAGACTTGGTTTTATGTTCAGCTCCCCATCCAAACCTTAATAAACTGCGTAATACTTCTGTCTGAAAGTCTGCCTTACAAGTTACTTAATATTTTGGCACTATAATGAGTATAAATACATTTCCTTCACATTTTAGAGGCAGGTTGATTATTTGAATTGACTTAAGACAGTTAAGATGTAAAAAGCATGAACCTAATAATGTTCCAATTCGGGGAAAAAAACATAAAAAACAGGTTGTTTGATATAAGAAACCCACTCAGCCTGTTCTTCTAAAGGATGCTACAGTTATGAAGACTATAACCCTCATTTCCAGAACTAAAACAGCATGCCTGCAAATGGTATTCGAACCACCAGATAGAGATTTCATGCAGAGACAGGAAATTTGACAGCCATTTGGTCTTGCACTCATTGTGGGGCCTCCAGTAATTGAATAACTAGGGACATGTATACAAATCTCCTAAACCTAGTCAGCACAGGAAATTGCCAAAGGAGGTTTTCTAGACTGGGGGAAAAGTAAATCTGCTATGGTAGACAAAATATTAATTGAGAGTGGTGGTCTGCTCTTCAGGAAGATGAAATGAGGTCTACTCCATCACAGAGTCTCTGATGGTCTTCTAGAATCAGTTGTGGCTCTTAGCTGCCCTCCAAAGCTGGTCTCTATAGGTAGCATAAGCACATCGTCAGCAGGAGCCCACAGAAAAGTCAACCTGAAGTGCTGCATAGAGCACGAGTGCCTGTGACTTCAACTGTGTCCCAAACTGAAAAGGACAACAGCTGCCTTGACTGACATCAATGCCGTCACATCCCTCTTCATCCACCAGAGGAATGTAGGGATTCTGCATAATATTTTAGGATACTACATTAGCGCTTTCCATTTTGTGTGGCTTATACAAACATTTAGCTTACACCATGAGGAGTTCAGATATAATCACATTTTGAGAGTAAAAACAGAATTTTCAGTTTCAAATTTAACTACGAAGCCCAAAACTTCAGAAAAGAGACACTTCTGGTCTCTACTTATGGGAAAACTTTTACAAATGGAAACATTCCGCAAACATGTTTAAGTAACAAAAGGTAAAAGCCAACCTTCATAAGAAGGAACTTTTTTACTCGTAATACAAAACTAACTAAATGACTCTGATAAGCATTTACCTATAACTCCCACTCATTTGATACAACATGCTTCCATGCAAACTAAATACAGCTGGGAGGGATACTCAGCCCAGAGGTTCCTATCTGCTCCCAGCACCTCTACACTTGACTGCAAGTCCCTAATTTCAGAGGAGGAAGTGCAGAAATCAGATTAGCTATATACTACAAGAGATACTGGAAACTTTTTCCAGTGGTGATTAGCCAGCCTGCCATGACACTATTCTGAAAGGGCATTTCATTATAAAACCTAATGCATATGGCTTTTAATCGGTCAAATATGTTATCTTTTGGGGAAGATTTTTTCATCATCCCTGAAGTTGATGTTTATGTATTGCTTGAAAGCAATATAGATTCACTTCTGCGCTGAATTAAAAAAAAAATAGAAAAAAACTCTTATATAGAAAGAAGTATTTATCACCTATACTGAGAGAAAAAATAACCCAGTAAAAAATGAATCTCAGTATCTTGATTAGAATTTCTCCACCAATTTCAGAGACCTTCAAACAAAGTAACACCTGAAGGTCCTGCAGTCTACCTTACAAGATGTCAAGTGTAATTTATTCATCCTACATGACAAGTTTTAAATTGTTGCTGCATTAAAATATAGCTTTGTTACATGCAAAATGCGCTCAATAAAAGCAGCACTAGATAAAATTGCAGTAGTGGCAAAACCATTCACAATGTGCACCTCTGCTGTCTTTAGCACAAAAAAAAAAACCTCATGAGCTCTGTTCAGACTCAGAGTTTACACGTCAGTGTAGGAATTGAGCACATTCCTTTAAATACGTACTCTAAAGCTACCAGTTTAATTTAAAACAGCATCAGAGTAGTTGATGTCAGATACTCTTAGACAGATTCCATTTTTTGCAAATAAAATGTACCGACTGACAGAATAATATTAGTTTAATAAGCTATTTTAATAAAGCTATTCACTAAAATGTGACCTAAGCTATGTCTGACATCAAAGGTGCTCTGTGGGTTTGAGTTACTGGTTTGGATACACTCTTAGCACTTTTCCCCTAGCTGCAAACCATTCCTTTTCCTGGAAAAAAACAAAACCTGTCAGCAGGTACCACAGCCTCTCCATTAATTACCTGCACAAACAGTTTTGTTCTGGCACGGTTTCTTGACAATCTTTTTGACAAACATTAGCTGAAGTAAATTAAAAGACTCCAAAATACTGAAAAATTGAGGGCTCCTTAGCAGACAACGATATGCTTTGTACCAAAGGGCCCTGTAACTCCTATTTTAGAAATGCATATATGATATTAAAATATGGATTATTATTCTATATTTTTGGGTGGTCCTATGTGGAGCCAGGAGTTGGACTCGATGATCTTTGCAAGTTCCTTCCAATTTGGGATATTCTATGAGTACTATAATGCAGTTTGATTTCAAGTCTACAAAAGCTGATGGAAAATCTCCAACTAATAGAAACAAAAACAATATTAAGGCCATGCTTAATAAGACAACAAATATATCACTGAGTTATTCACAGTTGAGCAAGCTGTTTGTGCCAGCAATATATTGAACATCATAGTCGTGAGGCGCAAAGAACATCCCACGTCCAAAAAATCATCCTCAGAAACAGGTGAACACACAAATACTATTATTTCAAATTCAGAAACATCCCGCAACGGTATTAACGCGTTATTTTTCCAAACTCAGAAATTTTTACACCTCTAGAGCCAAACTGAGAGAGAAGGAGGGGGGCTGGAGGGAGCATTTTACAGCGCTTCCATATGTTATGTTTGTTTCCATAGCAGACTGAGAGTTTGACTACCTTACCTTTTCTACATTACTTCATCTTCCAAACTGTTATTCTTTGTTCAACACAACTTTCTACAATTCATTTCTGTCAAAATGTGATACTTTTTTTTTTTTTTTTTTTTTTTTTTAGATGGGAAAAAAGATTGGGAGAGGGAGAACAGGAATGAAAAAGTAAACATTATGTATTTCTTTCCTCTGAGAGCAAAAGTAGAATGAACTCCACTTTCTCAACATACTTTTATCCAAAAAACAAACAAACAAACAAAAGAACTTTTTTTAAATGTTAAGTTTTAACACTTAATGAGCAATCTGAAAAGTACATGCTTTTAGCTCAAATTTGGAAAATATCTTGATTTATTAAGTGATAATTTATTAGTTGCATCTTGAGTATGAGTAACAAAAAATTTCCTTACACCTACAGGTGCAGTAAAAGTGAAGTACTGCTCATGGACAGGCAGCATCTAGTGGGAGGAAGCATGCACATTTGACTTCCAGAAATTTGCAAGCATTGCAAGCCAAGTTGCTGTGGGATGCTAAGTCTGTAAAAGAAAACAAAGTTGAAGCTGAATAGCAATGACAT